TTCCAGACTGCATTTGTCCTTTGCCGAAGCTCAGACTCTGGCACAGGATCGGGAACGTTGGAAGCACTGTGTGACGCATCTGCCTCTGCGACCCGGAAGGAGAAGGGAGGATGGAAGAAGATGAAAATAGCGAATGGGAAAACAAGAGTGGCACAAAGTAAAAAACATGACACAAACGGAAATGAAAGTAATTCATGGAAAGAGTTAACGAATGGAAACTTGCAGAAAGATCTAAAAGGTCAAAGAGCATGGTAACGCAACAAACGTAGGAAAAGAGTGCATAAGGATATCAACCGAGGCGCAGAAGACAAACAAGAGAGAACATGCAGAACGGAACGCGTCTTACGGCGAAAGCAATTGTTACAGTGCAATATAGATGGATCGAATAATGGATGACGTGGCAGAAGCTGCTGTTAACAACAATGGGAAGAATACAAGAGGCGTAAAGAACGGACGTAGGGCAAGAAACTAAGTTTCAGAAATAAGTGACGAGAGAGAACTTAATGAAAAACTTATGGAAAATGGTAGAGGAGAGCAAGGCAGCAACATATCGTATGCAACAATAGTTAAGTTTGAAAAGTGATTAATAACGAGACAGAATAAAGGCAAAAAACACAACGTACGGATGAAAAGCATCCTCTAATGGTGAAAAACAGAAAACAGGTAACGAGATGACGATCGCAAGAAACAAGAATAAAACAGACATATGGCGGCGCATGTAACTGCAAGGTACAACCGAAAGTTTACAATCTAAATGAAAAGAAGAATGGGAGAAAAAAGACACAACCGCAACCTATAGAAAACAATGGATTCTGGCAGAATCGAACCCGGCATGTCCGGAGTCAAAACACAATCAATCAAAACAGCAGCCGGAGTAAAGACAAAAAATAAACAAAAGAAAACAAAGTGGAACAATGAGAAAAAACTTAGAAATAGAACACAGCCATAAACATGAAAGCAAGCAACTCCAAACGCGTACGAAAATAGATTTCTTACCGCATGGAATAGCACACTTGAAATTGGAACAGCGGACGAGACGAAAGTCGCAACAACGGCATCCCACGGGTCGATAATGACGTAAGACTTATTGACCGATTTGCGTGCTAACTTTTGCGTATTATCGTCATTTGTAGGAAAGGAGTAAAATGTGGAATGATAAAAAATATTTTATATCAAATATGTATCTGATTCAGCAAATTATTTATGAAATTTAAGTCTAAACCAGTGCTTCATTCGGTCTGAAAGTTTTTTTGAAGACGCGCCGTATACTGTAATTAGTAGAGATGACACTTTCAAAAAGAATTAATTTTCCTATGATTTGTCATATTATTTTCGTGTTGGCACGGTGTTTAAGAAGTCGACATCGAGCTCAGGATGTGCCAGGTTCGATTAGTCCGGATGACAACATTTCTTCAACTACGAACTCCTTTTTCAAGAACTGTACAATAAGCCATTTCAGATTAGGGTTCTGGAGTCGATACAACATCGAACGCAGGATGTAGAAACTCCGAGTTGTTGTTGGTTGGGGTCACTCGAATTTCTTCCTTCAAAAGTTGCCTCACCTCATGATAAATGAGTGCCACTCTGGGGGAAGCAAACAGGAGAGTAAGCATTGTGCTTATCACATAGCCGCTGTTGGCTATGACTTCAAAACAGGGCATTCTTGGATCATGACATGGAACTGGAGATCATCCTCATCAATCACGTAATGAATGGAATGTCCTCGTTATGAAATTGCTAGGAAGGCAGATATTGCGGTGGTCGGTATAAACTTCTGTTTTTCTCATATGTCAGTGAATCTAGCAACAGTGGATACTAGCATAAAAAATTTAAATACCATTAAAAGCCTTTACAGAAACAGTGGAAGCATTTTTGGATCAAGACTACGAAAGGCTAACCAAAAACAGGGGAAAAACTCAATTACTATTGCAAAACTCAAACTAATGCAACGTAGATCAGAAATAGTTGTAAGATAAAAACTGCCTTAACGAAGACGAATTAGAAAGCCTAGGGAAACTAGATTTCATCAGAGCATTCAGTTGGTGACGAAAATGAAGACCTTCGCATCATATACCGTCTTGATTTTGTTATATAGCGTAGAAATGACAATCTGGCTAAAAACGTTTAACCAACGTTGCTCTTGTCACATGCTCAGTATTCTTCGTTTTCAATGAATAACGAATCAGAAGGTATTAGCCAGAATGAAACCATGGACTATATCTCCGTAATTCCAGGAGTGATAATGATGAATGCCACTGTCTGACAATACCATCTGAAAGGACAGAATATCACTTGCTCAAAAGTTTTTACTGTTGCATCCAAATCACTAATTTTCACAGCTGCCCC